TTGGAGGGGCCAGGAGGGTTCCCACGGGAAGTGATGTGGACACCGGGACCTGAGGGTGCTTAGGCATCAGTTAAGCAAGGAGGGTTCACACATGATGTGGGCCCGGAGTGGTCAGGGACACTTCCTGGAGGAGGGATGTGAATGGGTGTTTGGGCATGGGAACAGTATTTGGTAGAAGGTGGAATAGTTGGTTGAATTTGGATGTTCCCAGATGCCAGGGAACCGACTGAGCAAAGGTCTGAAGGTGACTCTGTGCTTCTGGCCTACTGCCAGCGCAGTGACAGAGGCCAGGCCAGCTAGCGTAGGGGTCTGTGGGCACAGGGTTGGCCGGAAAGCTGGTTCTGATTCTGGAGGCCTTGAGTGGCTGGCTGCTTGAGGACATTGGACTCGTGCGTCTCCAGCGGGGGCTGTCTCCAGGGGGGTGCGCTCCCTGCTGCCAGCGCACCTCTGGTTCCGGTCTCCCATTGAAGATCTGAAAGTGAATGAAGGCAAAGGCAGGCCAAGCCCAGGACCCGGGCAGCCTGTTTGTTGTGCTTTCCCTGAAGGGTGTCACGTAGCCAACGGGACAGCTGGCACAATGGGCCTGTGGCAGGAGACTCAGGCCTGGGGAAGCTGGCCGGGAGCAGACCCTGCTCAACTTAGGGACCAGGGCAGGTGAGATAGAAGGTGGCGATGATGATGATGGTAGTTCAGTTGCTATTACTGCGTGCCAGGCACCGTGCTAAGCCTGTTCGGTATCATTCCATGTTGTCTTCACAAAGCGCTCCCTAGTTTAGAATAGAAACTGAGGCACAGAGAGGTGAAGACACTTGCCCAAGTTCACCTGTTCTTAGGTAGCAGGGCTAGGACTTGAAACCGAGCTCCTGTAGCCAGCTCGCCAGTAAATGGCACTACCAGAACTTAGAGCTGGCAGTTCCAAAGGGCACCACACTCTGTGGTCACGCCCTGAGTCTCCTGAGCTGCCTGTCAGAATCGAATGTGGATGCAGAGGCTCCAAGAAGCCAGGGCAACACTGGGCCCTGTACTGCAAACCCTCCTGGAGGTGAGGTGATGGAGTCCGAGAGGCCAGGTTCAAATCCCAGTTTGGTTTGAGTAGCCTCTCTCTCTGAGCATGAGGTCCGTCATCCGTAAGGTGGGGTCATAATCACCTTTGGTCATACACTCAGTCAAGCCGGACCTGAAACTAAGCATTTTCCTGACATCTCACTCCAGCAGCCCCAGGAAGTGGGGGTTATTAGCCCATTTTGCAGGTGAAGAAACTGAGGTCCGCTGGTAAGTGAGTAACTTACCAGCGAATTGTGTATTCGGGTTGAAACCCAGATCAATCTGACCATAGAGCCTGCGCTTTTCCCCGGTCCTCACCTGAGGATATTTTCCATCATTGATTTTAGGGAAAGGAAGGGAGAGAGAGACATCAGTTAGTTGCCTCCCATATGCATCCGGACCAGGGACCGAACACACACCCCAAGTATGTGCCCTGACCCGGAATCAAACCCGCAACCTTCCAGTGTGTGGGACGACACCCCAGCCACCTGAGGCCCCCAGCTAGGGTCATGCTGCTATCTTTAATCATCACGTGAGAATATGTTTATTGATTTTAGAAAGAGAGATCGATTTGTTCTATTTATTTGTGCACGCATTGGTTGTCTCCTGTGTGTGCCCACGGAGAACGACCCTGGCACACGGCACCAATGCGCCAACCGAGCACCCAGCCAGCAGCCGCCTCCCCCCACCACCCTGTCACTCTGTAATTACTGCCTCCCTGCAAAGGTAATCACCACCCTGCCTTTTAACATCGTAGGTTAGTTTTGCCTCTTCCACCCCCGCCACGCCCTTTCTGCTGTAGACTCTGGTAGGAAAACGGTTTAGAATTCATTCCTGTCTTCAGTTCTATAAATGGTCGATTGTTTTCTTTTTTTTTTTAGAGAGAGAGAGACATTGATTTTTGTTGTTCCAGTTATTTATGCATTCATTGGTTGACTCTTATATGTCCCCTGACCAGGGCTTGAACCTGTAACCTTGGCATATCAAGATATCACTCTGACCAGGTGAGCTACCTGGCTAGGGCCTGATTGCTTCTGTCTCATTCGCATTTGGACACAAGGGTTCCACTTTCATTCTCCATTGGCCTCATCGGAGCCACCAGTGCACTACGAGGTCATCACTTAACTGGACCCGAATCCCTCCGAAACACGGCCCTCGTTGGTGTCCAGGCCACTTTGTAAACTTGGAAATGAGTTATATGCAACATACCTTCTCAGAAGTACACACATCATGATAAAGCTCCCTGAGTAGTCACAGAGTGAACATACCTGTGTGTCCACCCCTCCGATGGGGGACGAGAAGCTTCTCAACACGCAGCCAGGCCCCTGGGGCAGCCACAGGCCTGGCCGCTGCCCCAGAGTCGGTTTTCTTGGCTGCTGGTCTTTAACGCAATGGACTGATACATAAATGGACTCGCACAGGGTGTGACTGTGTGCTCCTCCGTGTCTGGCTCCGTCGCTAAACCGAGAGTTTCTTCCAAGCTATTGTGTTGGCAGCGACCCATGCGTCCTCGCTGCTGCGTGGTGTTTCCTCGGTGCGCGTGTCATTGTCCTTTGAGTGTCAGTGGACATTCTGGTTGTCCACTCTGTGGGGCTGTGATGAATAGGGCTGCCGTGAACATTCCGGGGGTGTGTGTGTGTGTGTGTGTGTGTGCTGGTGAACATTTGTACGTGTGTTTCTTCGGGTGCATACCCAGGTGTAGAATCGCCAAATGTTGAACACATATGTGTCTTTGCCTTCAGTAGATAGCGTCACACGGGATTCCAGTCACCCCGCAGTGCACCCCAGTCCACGGCCCACAGCGGTTTGGTGGCGCCCGTCGCTCCGTGTCTTCACTGCAGCACAGGCTCCGTCGACCTGGCGTTGCCTGTTTTTGCTGCTGTTCGCGGGAGAGCCGTGGTGGTGGGCGGCCCGTGGTGTCTCGCTGGGTTTTGCCAGTGCTGATGAAGCTGAGCTCCCTGCCACGCGCCACCGTCCAGTTCCCTGTCCTTCGGGAAATGCCGTTCACGTCTCTTTGATACTATGTCCTTTCTTAGAAAACTGATTTGTCGGAATTGTTTATATATTCTGAATATGAGCCTTTGGTCGAAAATATCTTTTACTCTGTGGCTTGCCCTTTCTCTTCCTTTTTTAAAATTTTTTATTTATTGATTTGAGAGAGAAGGAGGGAAGGAGGGAGAGAGACATGAATTTGTTGCTCAACTTTTGTATGTGTTCATTTGTTGCTTCTTGTATGGGCTCGGACCTGGCATCGAACCAGCAAGCTTTGTGTATTGGGACAACACTCTAACCAACTGAGCTACCCGGCGGGGGCTCTCTCTCTTTTTCTTTTCTTTTTAGGTTTTATTTATTTATTTTTAGAGAGGGGCACAGAGGGAGTAAGAGAGGGAGAGAAACATCATCCGTGTGTGGTCGCCCCTCACACGCCCCCTCCTGGGGACCTGGCCCGCAACCCAGGAGCCAGGCTTCCGTTCCTGATGACATCTTTTGATGAAAACAGCCTTAAATTTTGAGGCAGTTCAGTTTTTCTTTATGATTTGTGTTTTTTATGACCTGTTTAAGAAATCATTGCCTACGTAAAATCATAAAGATATTCTATGCTTTCTTCTGGAAACATTATTGTTTTACCTCCACATATAGGTTGAAGGTCCATCTCCTAAAACTTTGGGGGCATGTGCAAATGGAAGTTTCTTCATTCAGTGCAGACCGACTGACCATTTTCCCCTTATAAATCCTACGTAAGAGTCCCTTACCTACCTCAGTGTCATGAGGACAGGCGGACGCCTCACTTCCTTAGTAGCTGTGGTGTTGAGCCATAGTTCCCGCACAGCACAGCCTGCCTGTTGAACAGGGACGGACGGCGCAGTGGGTGTTAGCGCGTGCGCAGGGCTGGGCGGTCCTGCCTGCAGTCGGCCTGAGAACATTCCGTCGCCCCCAGAAGCAAACCGTACGCCCGTTGGCCGTGCCTCCTCGTTCCCCGGCCCTGGCCAACCTCTCGCCTCCCCCGTCCGCACAGGTTTCCCTAGGCCGGCTGGACATTTCGCGTAAGTGGACTCGGGTCACATGTGTGCCTGACGCCTTTTGTGACTGGTTTCTTTCACTTCGTACAATGTTTTCAAGGCCCAGTGTTTTGGTATCTCTCTACTCTGTTCCTCTTCTGGCCGGATAACAGGCCGGTGTATGGACAGACCATGTCCGTTGGTCCGTCCATCAGCCGTCAGACACTGTGTCATCTCCACTTGGGGCCGTTGTGAATGATACCGCTGTGAGCTGTGACGTACAGCTTTTCATGTGGACGTATATTTTCATTTCAGTTAGGAGGAGCCTGGATTCTTAGTCATGTATAACGAGAGTGAGTGAGAACATGTCTATAAAGCCCTGGCACATGCTAAGTGTTCGAACAGTGACACCTACATACCAGTTGGTTTACACAACCAGGGCCCTAGCCAGTAGCTCAGTTGGAGAGTCGCCCGACGTGCCAGGTTTGGGGGTTCAATCCTCAGGGCACATACGAGAATCAACCAATGAATGCATGGATGGGCGGAGCAACAAATCAGTGTTCTCTCTCTCTCTCTGTCCCTCCCCCTTCTTTCCTTTTTTAAAAATCAATAAATTAAAAAAATGTAAAGATCACATAGCAAGGAACACTCTGTACTGTTAGTGAAAGCCCCCTGCAACCCACCCAAGCACCGGGCGCCAACACACACAGCTGTCCACAGACATCATCAGACACAGAGACGCTCGGACAAGGCCCCTGCTCTTTGCAGGCCGAGTCAGGCAGCGACAGCGGCCCAGCAGAGAGGGGCAGAGGGTGGTCTGGAACACCGGGGCCTGCGTGCGGGGCTGCTGATCGGAGCGTGAGGTCCGGGGCCTCCGTCTCCCTGCTCGGAGAGCAGACGCGGGGCAGCTGGTGGTCCCGGCTTTTGCGCGGCTCACTGTGCTTTCCCACTCCCTAGGCTGTGGCCCTGCCAATGACCCTGTGAGTGCCGAGACGCCGCCCCTGCCCTGCCCTGCCCCAGAGTGGCCCACCTTCCTACCCCAGCATGGCGTCCGATACCCCTGAGTCCCTGATGGCCCTCTGCACCGACTTCTGCCTGCGCAACCTGGATGGCACCTTGGGCTACCTCCTGGATAAGGAGACTCTGAGGCTGCATCCAGACATCTTCCTGCCCAGCGAGATCTGTGACCGGCTCGTCAATGAGTGAGCAGGCCCGGAGCTGGGGCAGGGGCCAAAGTCTCAGAATGTGCATGTGTGTGCCTTGGAGTGGGACCACTGTGCATGTGCCACGTGCTGGGCGACTGTAGATACGTATGTGTGAGGGGTGTGTGCGTGTGCAGGGGTCCATGGGTGCGGGATACTGGTGCCGTCCTAGGTGTGCACGTGGGCTCCTGCAACGCGGGGCACGTTTGACTGTGAAGCTGCAGGTGTGTGTTTCACCTGTGGGAGGGTCCAGAAATCTGCACGCAGATGAAGGAGTTACTGGTGTCCTGCCTGTGTGCACACCTGTGCCTGTGAACACACATGTATGTGTGAACATACAATATACACCAATGCCGAAATAAGGGATCCATGAGCGGGGATAGAGTCTTTCAGAAAATCTGTGTGTGGCCTCTCCGAGGGGCCCCCTGCTGGTGGAGGCCCCTAGAAGCACGACGTGTGACCGCTGACCTGTGAGATCTCAGCCGAGACGCCCAGAAGGGAAATTGTTGGATGGGACAGCTGCAGGGAGAAGTGGGGACCCGTGCATCCCCAGCATTTCATGCGGGGCTGGCAGCAGCGGGTTGGACACGCTGTAGACCAGAGTTAGGGTCACTTCACAGATGAGGAGACCGAGGCTCGGGGGAGTTCAGTCACTTGTGTGAAGGGGCCCACGGAGGGAATAGCCAGGCAGCATTCGGATGCCAGAGCGCTTGCTCCAAAGCCTTTCCCACCAAGACCAGGGTTTTGGTATCTCGCCTGAGCCGGTATCTCAGCTGGGTTTTACTGAATCTGCCTGTCGGAAGGGGTCCTGGGAGGGGCTGCTTGAGGAGCTGCTTCAAGAAGATGAGTGGAGATGCGTGTGTTTGTCATGGAGGTGTCTGCGGTTTGGGAGGAGGAGCCTGGGATTCGCTACTGGTGGGAGGCCCTTCCTCACCAGGAGGTCTGCCTTTGGACTCCTGGTTCCTGGGGCCACCCTTAGTCTCTGCTGGGGACTGGGGTAGTGGAGACCCAGCCAGGCACTGGGAGGAGGAGGGGGAGGGGACGGGGGCTTCAGGTAGAGGGACGAGGGTCACCATGCCGCTCCCTGAGCCAGGTCTCCCACCCTCCCTCCCTCTCAGGTACGTGGAGCTGGTCAACGCCGCCTGCAACTTTGAGCCGCACGAGAGCTTCTTCAGCCTCTTCTCCGATCCTCGCAGCACCCGCCTCACCCGCATCCACCTCCGTGAGGACCTGGTGCAAGACCAGGACCTGGAAGCCATCCGCAAGCAGGTGAGACCTGCCTCGCTGGGCACCCGGTAGCCATGGGAGGCCCCCACAGGGCTGTGAGATGCTGGGGCAGGGCTGGTCGGCCCCAGGGCGAGGAGCCCGAGGCCCCTGCAGTACTCTTCCCCCTGGGCAGCCCCTCCCCGGGCCCACCTGTAGCGCAGGGCCTGGCCGGGGTGGGGGCTGGGCTGCAGTGCTGACGGAGCCGTGCCTGCCCCCAGGACCTGGTGGAGCTCTACCTGACCAACTGCGAGAAGCTGTCCGCCAAGAGCCTGCAGACCCTGAGGAGCTTTAGCCACACCCTGGTGTCCTTGAGCCTCTTCGGCTGCGCCAACATTTTCTATGAGGAGGAGAACCCGGGGGGCTGTGAGGACGAGTGCCTCGTCAACCCCACCTGCCAGGTGCTGGTCAAGGACTTCACATTCGAGGGCTTTAGCCGCCTGCGCTTCCTCAACTTGGGCCGCATGATTGACGGGGTCCCTGTGGAGTCCCTGCTGCGGCCTCTCAATTCACTGGCCGCCTTAGACCTCTCGGGCATCCAGACCAGTGACGCGGCCTTCCTCACCCAGTGGAGAGACAGCCTCGTGTCCCTTGTGCTCTACAACATGGACCTGTCCGACGACCACATTCGGGTCATCGTCCAGCTGCACAAGCTGCGGTGAGCAGCCGGCAGCAAGCCGGCTGGGGTGGGAGCGGGGACATTCATGTTGTCGGCCCCCGAAGGTTCACGAGCCCCTGGCTTGGTAGGAGGTGGGCGTGGAGGGACAGTGCCGGTCCTTAAACGCAGTGCGTCGGCTGGTGGGTCAGGGTTCTTCAGGGCACTGAGGTCCCGGCAGGATTTTTCCCAGAATGCCCTGCGGCAGTTCTGGGCCCTCCTCGGTCACGCAAGCCCTGGCCTGCATCCAGCTCCTGACCTATATGCCCCCCAATCTTCAGACACTTGGACATCTCCCGAGACCGCCTCTCCAGCTACTACAAGTTCAAGCTGACCCGCAAGGTGCTGAGCCTCTTCGTGCAGAAGCTGGGGAACCTCATGTCCCTGGACATCTCTGGCCACATGGTCCTGGAGAACTGCAGTGTCTCCAAGATGGACGAGGAGGCAGGGCAGACCAGGTGTGGACTCACCCATGCCACCCTCGGGGTGCCGTGGGGCGTCGTTCAACAAGCACTTACCACCCATCCCTCTGGGCGCTTGAGATAAAGACACGGACGAGGCCCTGCCCTTGCCAGCCTGTACGACAGGTCACTGTGAGGACTGTGGAAGGGGGGCCACAGGGTTGCCCTGAGGACTGGGAATGGCATCCAAGCTGTCTATTTTTTTTCTTTTTAAGATTTTTATCCATTTATTTTTAGAGAGATAGGAAGGGAATGGGAAGGGAGGGAGAAAGAGGAGCAGAGAAACACCAGTGTGCAAGATATATATCTCCCAGTTGCCTCTCTCACACCCCCAACTGGGGACCTGGCCCACAGCCCAGGCATGTGCCCTGACTGGGAATTCATCCAGTGACCATTCTGTTCACAGGCCTGAGCTCAGTCCACTGAGACACACCAGCCAGGGCCATCCAAGCTGCTTTGAAAGTTCATTCTGGGATTGCCAGCGGAAAGGTGTTTTAGCAGAGGGGATAGCGTGTACAAAGCCTAGACGGCGCAGCCCCGGGGATGACTGGGAAATTGGGACGTGCAGACTAGCCAGAGACTGTGGAGGGGGCGCAGCGGGCCTGGCAGCGTCCGCCACTCGTTGGCTGCCGCAGCAGGCAGGGCAGTTTCCAGGCTGGCTGGCTGGAGGTCTGATGCAAACCCATCGGCTGTACTTGGCCAAAGCCCTGTCTACCCCCAGCCAGACCTGGGTGGGGTTCAGTTGATGGGCGTGTCCCTTCATGATTGTTGGTGGGACCTAAAGGTGATACGTCCTCATTGAAACGGCAGATGCTGTTTTCCAAAGGTGGCTACAACCCTACCTCCCATCCCACCTGTTCTTCTACCCTGTGACCTTGCCATCCTTCCATCCAGAAGCAGGGTCTGTGTCCCCTGACCTTAAAAAGAAAAAAAAAAAGATGAGCTGAAGGGCCTAGAAGTGAGTCTCCAGGAAGTCCCCGGGCACCCCCAAGGAGAGGCTCCCCTTTGCGCCGAACCCGGGTCAGCCCCGGCCCCGGGCCACTGACGCCAGTGCCCTGCTCCCGCAGCATCGAGCCTTCCAAGAGCAGCATCATGCCCTTCCGGGCTCTGAAGAGGCCACTGCAGTTCCTCGGGCTCTTCGAGACCTCCCTGTGCCGCCTCACCCACATTCCGGCCTACAAAGTGAGAGCGGGGATGGAGGCGGGAGGGGCAGGGAGCCCTGAAGAGGGGAAGGGGATGGCCGGGGCCCCCAGGGTGTCCGTCCGGGGGCTGGAGACGGTGCTGAGGATCCCAGCACGTGGCCTCTCTGGGGTTGTCCTGAGCGTGCCTCGCCCGCAGGTGAGTGGCGACAAGAACGAGGAGCAGGTGCTGAACGCCATTGAGGCCTACACTGAGCACAGGCCTGAGGTCACCTCGCGAGCCATCAACCTGCTCTTCGACATCGCGCGCATTGAGCGCTGCAACCAGCTCCTGCGCGCTCTGAAGGTCAGCCCCTGTCCCAGAAGCAGTAGGGGACTCTTGGGTCCCCATCCATCTGTCTCCACGTGGAGGATGCTGGACTTGGCTGGGCCATGTGCCCAGCATCCCTGGCCTTCCTGACATGCCCTCACACCCCCCCCATCCTGGTGGCCCTACCCCCAGCCCCGCCCCATACGTGCCTCACGTGCCCGAGCACTGGCCTTGTCCCGGAACTACGGCCCTGCCCTGCTTTCTGCTCCCCCACGTCTGCCCCTGGAGAGCAGGACCAGAGGGCCCGGCCCAGCCCCTCAAAGAGCCCCAGGCCCGTCCCTGCACAGCTTTCACGGGACTGGCCAACCTGGACCCCGTGCCCTGTCTTCATCCAGCTGGTCATCACCGCCCTCAAGTGCCACAAGTATGACAAGAACATTCAAGTGACGGGCAGCGCTGCCCTCTTCTACCTGACGAATTCCGAGTACCGCTCAGAGCAGAGCGTCAAGCTGCGCCGGCAGGTCATCCAGGTGGTGCTGAATGGCATGGAATCCTACCAGGAGGTGACGGTGAGCCCCTTCCTGCCACGGCCCCGCATGCTCTGGCCCAGCCCCGCTTTCCCTGCCCCCCTGTGGCCCAGCCTGGCCTGCCTGCTCTAGACCCCACGGGCTGCTGTGCTTGCTCCCGCCCCTTCTCGCCTGGCTCTGCACTGCGCCCCTTCCCGCACCCTGCCCTGTGGCGCCAGGCCCGGACCCCACTAACCTGGCCCACCCCCTCTGCCACCCACCACCCCGGCCTCTGCTTAAACGGACTCCTCAGCCCTTCCACCCAGGAGCGTTCTGCTGGGAGCTATTTTCTTCAATAGCTGCCTTTCTTATAAAAGTAATAAAGATTTAAAAACCCACCCATAGCCGCATCCCTGGAGATAGCCACCACTGACGCTGGGTACCCGGGCCCTGGATTTCAGTCTGTGCGTGTGCGCTTAGTGCCCGGGCTCACTGTGCGTGACGCTCGTGTGCCGTGGGTGTGAACCTCTTCCCCATCAACAGACATTTTGCAACAAAATTTTTAAAATAATATTTGTTTCCTGTAAGACACTGAATGCTTAGAAAACAAAGTCAAGAACTAGGAGAATGTACTAACTAGAAAGTAAAAGCTGCTCACAGCCCCGCCTCCCCCCTCCGGCCGGCCGGATGGAATGGCCCGGTGTCACACGTGGGTGTCAGCACAGTGTCAGCATCCTCATCGGGGACAGGCCGAGGGGACCAGAGAACTTCTCCCCCGAGTGCACGGCTGCAGGAGGAGTGCCGGGCAGCGGGTGTGTGCGTCTTTAAAGCGGCTGGTAGGTGTTGGAGGATCACCCTGCAGCAAGGCCGGTGCAGTGGGGGCACGGCCTGGGCCGGAAGGTGCAGGCCCCCCGCCTGGCAGCTCCAGACGTCCGAACCGCTGTTTTTCCACACTGAGGTCAATGTTAGAACCAGGTAAAGAGGCTTCTTTTTAATGGAAAAAAAAATACTACTTGAAGATTCTCAAACGAATTAGTGAACGCGATCAAAGAACTGAAAATTCAAATAACCAGATGTCACACCTCATCGCAGGAGACTGAAGATGCCCGGCCGTAGCCAGGGTTAGGGACCGGCACTCGCGCATTGCCCGCCGCGGCAGCGGCGGCTCAGACCGCTTTTCTGCAGGACAGCTGTCGGAGCCTGCGGAGACCACACGTGCCCTTTCCCTTCGGCCTCCGTGTTCCTCAGGGACGTTCTCGGAGGAAGGGAAGGATGCGCACACACCCGCCCCCTTTCGTTACATAGAAATCAGAGGCAACCCAGAGGGTTTAGTCATCGCGGGACTGGGAAAGTAACGCAGGACCCGCCCCCCCACGGGGACGTCGTGGTGCGTCTGCGCACCCGCACGTCAGGCAGTGGGGGGCCCACTGCACGTTGGCAAGTGAAGGGGAGTCTGGGGCCCATATGCACAGGGCCTTTTTTTTTTTACCTCTCCTCTCCCCCAAATACACAGTAGAAAAATCTAGGACAATTGTTAATAGCACAATCAATAAAATATACTTTAAAAAGAGAAAAGAAAGTCTAGAAGAATGTACACCAAACTTTTTAAAAGATTTTATTTATTTATTTTTAGACAGAGAGGAAAGGAGAGAGAGAGAGGGAGAGAAACATCAATGTGTGGTTGCTTGTCACGCAACCACTGGAGACCTGGCCTGCAACCCCGGCATGTGCCCTGACTGGGAATCGGATCGGCAACCCTTTGGTTCACAGGCCAGTGCTCAGTCCACTGAGCCACACCAGCCAGGGCTTTTTTTTTCCTCTTTTTTTTTCCGGGGAGAGAACAAATGCACGTTTAGTTTTCACCTCTCGGTGCGTTTACATCCTCAAGGGCACAGCATTACATGGACTCAGTGCTCAGCGGCCTTCACAGGAGGCTGTTCTGGGACTCGGCGCAAACCACCCGCTATGCCCACGAGCCCCAGTTCCCTCTCCCCAGATGACTCAGGTTTTGTTCGGCTTTGCCCACCAGGCGTTGCCGTGCAGTTCTTTGCTTTGCACACAAGCGCATCTCTTGCCGCGAGAGAAGTTAGTTACATCTCCAGCATAAACACCTTTGACTTTAAGAGGAACTGTGTGCTCCCTCTCATTCCGGAAACCCTGCTTATAGCCAGCGAAACAGCCTCAGCCCCTAGGCTCCCAGAGGGCGGCACGAGGAAGGCCTGTGCGCCAACATTGTAACTGATTAAATTCTGGGGGACTTGAACTTGCTGCTCAGGCAGTGTTATTTGAACATTTTAAATTAAGTATTCCTTTTATAATTTAAATTTGTTCTCAAATTGAAAAGCTATATGTATATTGTGGGGAAGAGGCCAGGGGTTAACCAAGAGTGATATTCTCTCATTTACATAATTAATAAAGTAGGGTGAACCCCCAGTATTTAACAAGCAGGGATGGAAAGAAACCAAATTACAAGGAAAGTGCACTGAGAACACTGAAATGATAAGCCTGCAAATGACACAGAGAGAGAGCAGTGTTGGCGCCACCAGAGTTGTCCTACATGTCTGGGGACCCGGGAAAACAGTCGGGTTACCTGGTGAAGCTGAAGACACGCAAGCCTTGTGACCCAGAAGCTCGCCCCAATGTGTGGGCGCCCTCAAGGGGCTTGTGGGCAGGGACACCAGAATGCATGTACCAGCCATCATTGGAAGCAGTCAAACATTGAGATCCGCCGGCAGTGGAATGGGTGATAAATTGGAATACTACACTGTGATGAAAAGGGACTGCGTTTTGGCTACTTCTGAAAACATGGCTGACCTCGCAAACCTATGGCTGAACAAAAAGAAGCAAGATGCTGGAAAACCTTTCAATAAACGGGTAGTGAGAGTCTCTAGTGGGGAGAGGGGCTCGTGGTCAGGAAGGGGTGTGTGGGGGCTTCTGGGTGCTGGCAGGGTTCTAGTTCTTCACCCGGGTGGTGGCTGCATTGCTGTTGAAACGCTTGTTTGCTTTATAATTATTTCTAAAACTATGCATTTGTGATTTTTATACACTCTTCTGTATGAAAATTTCACAATTTTTAAAAAACGCTTTTTAAGAAAGCCTTGTGGTCTCCTCTTCCAGAAAGCCTTCCCTGACCACCACAACTCTGGATTCTCTTGCCTCTAGAGAGCCCTGCCGTCCAGCTCCCGAGTCTGCCCCTCACTGTGCTCTGCTTGTCTCCTCCCCGGCCCAGGTGCAGCGGAACTGCTGCCTGACCCTCTGCAACTTCAGCATCCCTGAGGAGCTGGAGTTCCAGTACCGCCGGGTCAACGAGCTCCTGCTCAGCATCCTCAACCCCACTCGGCAGGACGAGTCGATCCAGCGCATCGCCGTGCACCTGTGCAATGCCCTGGTCTGCCAGGTGGACAACGACCACAAGGAGGCCGTGGGCAAGATGGGCTTCGTCGTGGTACGTGCCAGCGGGCTGCTCTGCCCTCCCTCCCTCCCTCCGTCCGTCCCTCATCCGTAGCCCCGCTGCCGTGTGAAGTCAGGCTAGACCAGCATTCCTAACAGTGAATGTTGCCCAGGACCCCTGTAGACTTTCTCCACCTAGAACACTCCGTCATCCTCTCCCAGCCCCTCCATTTGCCCACTGGGTCCCAGTGGACAAGTAGCTCCTCCCTCCTCGGACCAGGTGCCTTGACGTGTCTTCCCAGCTGGGACTGAGTAGGTGTGTGAGGGGCTGTCTGTGAGCCCCGCGGGGAAGGACGTCACGCTTGCTCCTTCCCTCATAGTGTCCCCAGCTCTTCCCAGCACAGGGCCTGGTGCATGGTAGGGAGATCGCAAATACGGGGTCCAGCACAAATAATGCCCCTTTTTATTACAAAATCTCTACTTACAAAATCTTAAGCATGTGATTCTGTAATGTAACAATATCACACTCAAGAATCCTATGACATTTTAGGTGAAACGCTCAAATTGCTGTCCATCTCATGTGAGACAGTCACGTACCCCACCAACCACAGTCAAGCAGGTGTTACTTCTGCCGGACCCTGGAGTTGCCGAAGGAAGGAAGCAGAGAATGAGGAAGGAACATCAGTCTCCTTTCGCTTCTCCCTGGGGAGGCTGAATTCCTCAGGGGTGGTCCATTCCCAAAGCCACACAGACCGTTAGGGTTGAGCGGGCACCGGCTGCCCGGCCCCTTGATTCCAAACCCCAAGTCTATCGCCTGCCCTTCAAACAGCCTTCCACGCAGAGGGGTAGTTTGGTCTCATCAGGATATATGAGCCAGGAAGAGAATTGCTGTCGCCCCGGGGGGCAACATGGAGGGTGACATGGGGGACACGGGAGCTCTCGAGGCCTGGCCCCCTGCAAGTCCTCCTCTCTGCCCACAGACCATGCTGAAGTTGATTCAGAAGAAGCTGCTGGACAAGATAGTAAGTCACATCCCCACAGAACCACTCTGCCCTCCCACAGCCCAAGAGGGGCCTGATGTGTCCCGGGGATGCCCATGTTTGGCCCGGGGACCCCTCACTGGGTGCGAGGAGCCCAAGGGCCCACCCAGGGGAGCCTGCGCTGAGCCCCACCTGCCCCCAGTGCGACCAGGTCATGGAGTTCTCCTGGAGCGCGCTGTGGAACATCACGGACGAGACGCCGGGCAACTGCGAGATGTTCCTCAGCTTCAATGGCATGAAGCTCTTCCTGGACTGCCTGAAGGTAACACCTCCCATCGGCGCCCCTTGGCCGTGCGCACAGCCACCTTCTGTCCCCAGGCTCCCCACCGGCCACACCCCTCCACACCCCCACTCCCTGCGGTTCCTGCAAAAGGGCACTGGGGGGTCTCCACAGGCCCATCGGCCCAGGACTTGCTGCAAACAGAAGCTCCGGAGACCCCTAGGGCCTGGCTGGGCTCTCCCTGAGAGCCCTCCCTTCTCCTCCGCAGTGCCTTCTCAGATGGTCCTGTCCGGCTGGTCCGTCGGGACAGCAGCTGGACAGGATTCTGTCCAGCGGAACGGTCTGTTCGTCCTGAAACTCACCCTTTGTCTTCTTGCTCTAGTTTCCGAGGGGAGCCCGGTAAACCAGCGTTGTGAGCTTTGGTGAACAGAGCTGTGTCTGTCGCAGGCACGGTTTCTAGGTCCCGTCCCCACTCAGCCTCTGATTTTGTGACAAGGAGCCCCCTCCATTCTAACCCTGACAGTCCGCACCCAGCACTGTCCTAGGAGCACGAGAAGGTCAGGGGGGAGCATATTCCACCCCCTCTTTGTCCAGTCAGAGTAGCCAGGCAGACGTCACAAAGCATCTAGGTTAAGAATACTAGACAGTAATTAAGTGCTGATCGATAAGGCCCCGGTGGCTGTCATTTGGCTAGGAATTCCCAGAGAAGCAGGAACTGCATCGGAATATGCTGGGACTCTTGGGGAACGTGGCAGAGGTGAAGGAGCTGCGGCCTCAGCTCATGACTTCCCAGTTCATCAGTGTCTTCAGGTTGGTCCTTCTCGCCTTTACCTCTTTGCCTTGGCTGCCAGGAAGCTCAGAGCTCTAGTCTGTGCTTAGTAGCAGCAATCGCTCTTGGACTCAGTTTCTGTCCTAAATGTCACCTTCCCCTGTTGCGCGGATCCCTGTTCTTTCAGCCCTCCGTAAATGGTCCTCTCGCGACTACGTTAGCAACCTCACATCCCTTTTAAAAGTCATTGGGTATGAATAATAAGTGATAAAGAAATCAATAGTTCCTCTGGCATCTGGTTTGTAAGTTGGGGTCCAGCACCTGGTTTCTGAAGAGGGACTTGGGGGAAGTCAGACTCCATTCTTCTCCCTTCCTGGCAGCAACCTGCTGGAGAGCAAGGCTGACGGGATAGAGGTGTCCTACAACGCCTGCGGCGTCCTCTCCCACGTCATGTTTGACGGGCCTGAGGCCTGGGGCATCTGCGAACCCCAGAGGGAGGAGGTGGAAGAGCGCATGTGGGCAGCCATCCAGAGCTGGGACATCAACTCACGGAGAAATATCAATTACAGGTGCGAGGGGGGGCGGGAGTGCAGGGCGGGGTGCACCACAGACAGCGCAGGGCGGAGGGGCACACAGCCCAGCTACGCCGCTCGGTGGACATTCGTGCATGGCAGCACCGGCGCACCAAAGCCTCCTGGTCACAGGCACCCGATACGTGCTTATTTGTCGGGGCACATACCCACCTGCAGTGGGGAACAGAACAGAAACCAGTGGCAACCTCACTCCCTGGAAGAGAGCCCCACTAACCTGCCTGCGTCTCCCCACCTCCTCACTAAGGTGCCCGTGTCCCCCTCCCTGCAGCTCTGTGCACAGATTTAAATACTTGCAGTCCAGCCGGCATCAAAACATAGCTCTTGTGACTCAGTTTCCAGCCACAGGTTGGGTATCCCTCATGAGTCTATGACTGGGTCCCTTTCTGGGCTGACAGCCCATCCAATCGGCGCTGAATTGAAAACCCGTGTCGGGAGGACGGGGCTCATGCTCGTGGCTTTGCTGCGTTCCATTTCTGTCGTTCCCGAGGAGAGATGAAGTGGGGTCACTGCCCAGGGGGTTTGCACATGGGTTGGGGGCTTTTGGACACGGCAGCAGGTGGCCCGCAGAAGCCGTTAGAGGAAGTGCGGTCATGCTTCTGCTCCCCAGGGTGCGCCGCCCCCGCAGGCTGGTCTCTCCTCCTTGCCAAGGCCCCCAGTTTCCGTACCACCTAATCTGTGTCCTCCTCCCTCCCTCCGTGTGTCTGTGCTCTCCACCTCTCGTGCAAGGGAGCTGCCTTGGCTAGCCTGAGCTGCGCTAAAGGGCCAGACGCCGCCTGTCCCCTGCATCCTGGCCTGCTCACAGTTTGTCTGTGGGACCCTTCAGAGAGGAGGAACTCCAAGGTGCACTCTCCTGAGCCCCGGCACCAGAAGTGACTTTGATTTCTCTTCCGACAGGTCATTCGAGCCAATACTTCGCCTCCTTCCCCAGGGAATCTCCCCCGTCAGCCAGCACTGGGCCACCTGGGCCCTGTACAACCTTGTGTCTGTCTACCGTGAGTACCCACCCACACAGGAAAGGCCTGGCTGACTTGCCCGCAGGAAGCTTACGACGGGGGTGGGGAGCACTAAGGGGCTGATGCCAGGGCCTGCCTCAGGCTCAGTGCTTCCTGCTTCCATGCGAGTGAGCAGTGCAAACTCCCCATGCCTTCTGTGACACGGGCAGGACCCACCCGCCCAGAGACCCAACCCCGAGGGAACGACGTCCGAGAGAACAGGAGAGAACTTTAAACAACTCTAACTTATTTCCGCAAAGAGAGCCCACCCGCCCCGCCCACAGGAGTCTCTGTGGTCCCGTGCTCGGTGGTTTTGGGGGAGAGCAGAAACAGGGTACCACCCGGACCACATGTGGCCCCCAGTCCCCTCCCTGACTGGCTATGTGGCCTCATGTGGGTTCTCGAACCTCTCTGAGCCTCAGTTTCCTCCGCTGTGAAACAGGGATAATGGTAACGCCCCCCTCATGAAATTGATGTGACCAGAGAGCCCACAGAAGATGCGGAGCCCAGGGCCTGGTGCCGCTCCATCCTGTTAACTGGCAGAGTGGATGAGCCCGTGGGCGCTGGGAGCAGACGACCTGGGTTTGCAGCCTGCCTCTACTACTGGCTGTGTTACTTTGGGCAGGTTTCTCAACCACTCTGTGCCTCTAATTCCTCATCTTTAAAATGGGACAATAACAGCACTTACTTTGTAAGACTGCAAAGTAGGGCGTGTAGTGTACTCAGAAGGTTTCACATACGGACCTCGTGCCCATGGAGACTGTGTGATACAGTAGCCTTTTCTGTGACGACTTGAGCTTAGTCTTGTTAAGAAACAGCACCTTTCTCAGAGAGGCAGCCAGTCCGGAGGGAAGCCCTGTGCCTCCGGAGTGGCTTTGGATGAATTACTTCAACTCCGAACCTCAGTCCTTTCGTCTGTAGAATGGAGATGATAAAAGTAGCTCCTACTGCGTAGATCCACAGAAGGGCCACTGGAATGCCTGTGTTCTCCGTGGGGTGGAAGCCCTGGGTCCCAGGCCCTGGAACACTCTTTGTTGTAGCGAACCATGAAACCGCCCAGCAGAAAGGCATGGGGGTTCACCCTGGCTGGTCACCAGAATCGCCTGGTGGTATTTTGTTACAAACCCAATTAAATACAGGTTCCTGGGTCTGTGGAACTAGAGTACCCAAGGGCAGGGCTTAGGAATCTGTATTTTGACAAAACTCAGAGAATAGAAGCCACCAGGTGGCTGATATCGTCCACAGGATGAGCTCTGGGGGAAAGGCTGCCGCACACTGAAGTGGGGAAGCGCTTCCCACGGACGCACCCCTTGCTTCTCTTCCCCCGAGGTGGACTTGGGCTGGGCGAACTCGGCCGTCCCAGATCGCAGCAGTGCCCGCACCCAGGCCTGCGCCTTCACCCCACCCGCCTGGAAGGGCAGTCCTGGCAGCAGGGCGGGCGGTCCTGGGCCCTAGGCTGAGAGAAGACCCACCCTGATCCCCCGCTGTCTGCCCCTGCCTACCCCACAGCTGACAAGTACTGCCCCCTGCTGATCAAAGAAGGCGGGATGCCCCTTCTGAAGGACATGATCAAGATGGCCACGGCGCGGCAGGAAACCAAGGAGATGGCGCGGTGAGCGACCGGCAGTGTTACTGCTGGGGAGTCCCTGGTTTGGGGACTGAGGGATGCAGAGGGCCCCAGGGCAAGCCCAAGTTGGGTGTGGAGGTAGACAGCATGCTGATGTCCAGGTGGGGCCTCCCTGAGTGTCATTCTGGCCACAGTGTGGCCAGAAACCGGATAACCACGCCCTGGATGGAGTGTCACTGCCTTCGTTTGTCAGCTTCAGTTTTTTCCCCAACAAATCCCACCCTGTCATCACGGGGCATCAACACGTCAGGTCAGAGGTTTTCATTATTTCTGGCTAAAAACATTCCAACTAGAGAGGAAACAGTGTAGAAAAATACACTCCAGAGATGAGGCAGGGCAGAGAGCGCACGGGTGTCTGAGTGTGCGGGTCCCAGGCCCAGTGGCAGGCCTGTCGCTGATACCAGTGGTGGCTTCCACCACAGAGGCGGGAACATCCCCGGTTCTGATCTCACAGCGATCAGTTCGCAAGAGATTTGGGGATGCTGCCCGTCGCAGTCGGCAGTGACGACCTGACTTTCCCTAGGACCCATCCTAGGAGGGAGGGCGCTTATGTTCGCCCCAGTTCTATACCGGGTGTGCAGTCCTGTCCTGGAGGAGGGGCCTGGAGCACAGAGGCTCCCAAGACCCTGCTGGGCTGGGGAGCATCGGCTATTTCTGCGGTCATTTTAGGCAAAAGGCACTGCTTAAACATTAGGGACAGATTTGTCTGAGTTTGAGAATGGTAAAGTGAGTGGCTCTCACACTCAATCTCCATAAAGAATCATCTGGAAGGACTGTGAAAATTGTACAGGCCCACACCGTAGATTTTCTGTCCCAGCAGGTGTGGGAGGGGGGCCTGGGAACATTCATGGTCAGCAGGGGTCCCAGGAGGTTTGAGAAGCAGAGGGTTAAGGTGGGCCCATAACCTGCCCTGGTTACGGTGAGCCTCTCGGTAAAGACCCGAGGCGTGCCTCTGAGCCAGCCCGCCCGGCAGCAGGCGTGAACGACACGGGGTACTTCAGAGCAGTCACTCTGGCTGGTCAACTGCTGTCCCGCACCAGCATCCCTTCCTGAAATGCCTTGGGGCACCTCCTCAGCACAGAGAGCCCACAGTGACCACTGGCACCCACCGGCCAACGAACACGGGGGCTTTGTGTTGAATGGGGGGGCATGCGGGGTCCAGGGTGGCACCCAACAGCGGGGGGCCTGCAGTTCCCAAGGGCCAAACTGCAGCCGGTAAGGGAGACACCCAGTTGGAATGGTGGTTCCCAGACACTGCGGAACGTCCGAGGCCCCATGCAGTCTGGGGTGGGGTCGGTTTGGGGACATCAGTAGACTTCGGGGAAGGAAAAGGCTTGGGTGTGCAGGGAAAGACGAGGGAGGAAGACAGTGCTGAAGAAAAACAGTCAGAGGGTCTTGCAGGCCAGGCCTGAGCAGATTCAGGGGAGCCGATAACCACAGACGGCCCGAGGCCGAGAGGTGGGGAGGGCGGGACATGGGGAGGAAGGCAGGGATGCCAGGGTGCTGACGGAACTCACGGCCACAGGCACCATTTCCTGGGTGCTGGTGCCGGCCACCCTGCCCACCACTCGGCACTAGTCATCGCCGTCAACACCACTGTTAACTTCTGCTGACACACTCAGCGGCCTCAGCGGCCGGGAGGGACGTGGCCCGCCCAAGCCCACCTCCCGACTCTCGCTCTCCCGTTGTCTCCAGAAAGGTGATTGAGCACTGCGGCAACTTTAAAGAGGAGAACATGGACACGTCCAGATAGAGGCCTCTGCCCGTGGCCGCCAGGCTCTGGACCACGCGGCCGGCAGGCGGCGCTCTGCGGCAGCCCGGCTGGCAGACCCCCAGCCCCGGGAGCCGCCCACCGGACGAAGGGACACAGGGGAACTTTTGCACAACTGACGCTTTTCCTTAATTAGTGAGATATATATATTATATATATATTATTTTTTTTTGGTTAGGAAGTGTGAAGTTTTGTGTATATGATTTCTGTACAAAAACAAAAACACTCCCCGAGTCCCTGCAGCTCCCGGGCCATTCCCAGGCCCCCCTAGAAGCCTGCGTTGCCACCATACTCCTACTCCCAGCGACTAAACGCCTCCAACGTGTGAGTGTCCGGTCCTTCCCCAGTGGTCTCAGACCCTGGCCTCGCTTCCTAGTAGGAGAGGCAGCAGGCTTCTCACAGCCCACTCCAGCACCCTAACCCACCCACCGAGCCGGAGAGCCCCATCCGGGTTCCTGGGGGCGGCTGATAGGGTTTAGGGATTAAAACTAACCCCCGAGTCTCCTAAATGCCTTGGTGCTCCCAGCAGTGGGCCATCTGGGGCAAAGAAGTGAGCCGTGCCCAGGCCTAGGCAGCCCAGGCCCCAGAGGACCCTCCCTGAGTAGGGCTCACCATGGCCCTGCTGCTCTTGGCCAGGCCTGCCTGAGGCCACGCTGCTATGGAGGCTGCCTCCTAGTCTCCCACCAGGTCCCAGGCTGTTGAAGGCCCCAGTCCAGGGCTCATCCACTGCCCCTTTTGCCAAACGTACCAGAACCTGCCCCAGCCCTGGAAGCCAGCACCTTCTGGGACTGGGGGCTTGTTCACTCCCCAGCCCTTCATCTGCCCACAGCACCCAAGGTGCCCAGGCACCCCACCAGCAGAACTGAGCCTGCCTGCCCCGCCGCCCCCAGGACCCCACAGCTCTGACCGGAGCTCCCCACGCTGACCTTTCCAGCAGCAACAGGCGGGTGCCTCCAGGCCAGTATTTGGCACCACCTGCCGTGGACACCCTCCCCCCCTGCCCCAGGGCTTTACCTTGGAAACCTCTGAGCTGAGTTTCAGAGAAGTGCGAGCCCCAGGTGTATCGGCGTCCCCGCGCTCCCTCGCCATCACTCGGGGCTGCTGCTGTGGTGAGACAGACGGGGTGAGGAGGCCCCTCTGGAACAAGGGGCCTGGGGGCAGGCCTTGGGGCACGGCTGCTCGCCCCACCTCCTGTTCTGGGCTTCTCCCAGCATTTCTGCCTCCACGCAGAACAGGCTGGAGGAGTGGCCCAGGGAACAGGCCCCTGGCCTTTTTCTCCTGGAGTCTTTCCCTCCCAGCCCTGGGAAGAGACAGCTGCCCTGTATTCCCCAGCTCGGCAGATGGGCCGCAGCTGGCCCTCCCTCCCGTGCTCAGGTGGCCTGAGCCAGCCACCCCCACCCCCACGGGCCGCACTCACACCGCATCGCTTTACTACCTGGGGTCTGGGTAAATGTCTGTACTTCGGGATATCACAGAAATACATTTTTGTGCAAAGTGGAGAAGAGCAAAGTGTCTTTTTTTTGTGGAAGGGATGTGGTCAGGAGAACGGCCACATTCTGCACCCGTGTGCCCAGACTTTGGATACAGCTGCCAACAAGCCCACCCGGACTCTGCCCAGGCTGGCTCGGTCTGGTGGTAGGACAATGGCGCATGCAAGGTTATGACCCAGCGTGCCACGGTCAGGGGGACGGGAGCCCGGAGAGGCACCTCCTGTGGCTGGAGGGAGTGTGTAGGGGTCAGGGAGAGGAAGAGCCCTCGTGGAGGTCACAGATGGCGGGGCATTCCTGACGCAGCGAGGCAGGCTCCTCCCGGAGGAGAGGCGGCTTGGGAGCTGAGTCCAGTGAACAGAGGAGGCCACTAGGCGGCGCTGCGCGGGGCCTACGGAAAGAGCTTCCTAGACAGGGCCCCGCTGGGAGAAGGGCCTCGCCGGGAGGCCGGTGCAGCGGCTGGTGTGGCTGCAGTAGAGTGAGGGTGTGCAGGGAAGTCGCTGGGGCCAAACCATGAGGTGACCGACTCTGGCTGTACCTGGGACAGTCCTGGTTGTCCCGGCACAGTCATCGACAGTGTCCTGGGCACCCCTGAGATATCCCCGAGGCTGCACCAAATGTGGGAGGACCATTCCCCAAAGAAAGAACAGTCCAGGTGCAGGTGTGTGCCCAGTGCCCAGAGAAAAAGATGCTCTCCCCACCCTGGCTGGTGTGGTTCGGTGGGTTGGGTGTGTCCCACCAAAGTTGCCAGTTCAATTCCCAGTCAGGGCACATACCTAGGTGGTGGGCCAGACCCCCAGCTGGGGTGTGTGCAAGAGGCAACCACACATGGATGTTTCTCTCCCTCTCTTTCTCCATCCCTTCTCCTCTCTCTAAGAAGGAAATAAAATCTTTTTTAAAAAAATATGCTCTCCTTGACCAAATTTTCGCCATGCTCCTCTGAGCCCTCTTCTCAACCAGGCCTCATCCTTGACCTATAAAAACCACAGCAGGCCCTCAGCTCATATTAAAAGAGTCCAACAAACACTAACATGGTTTCTGAGAGCTCAAGGTGGCATCCCCGGGGTGACCCCAGCCCCTCTCGAAGCACCTGAGAAAGCTCAAGGCTGCTAAAAGAAGTGACTCTTTTGGCCACCAGCTGAGGACAGGCCCCGCACACACTGTCAGAGAGCATTTACTGAAAAGGGCTTACAATCCTGACTCCTCCCTCTGTCCCTTTGAATTGTTTCAGTGTCTTTTGCTACCGAGGAGTGCCTTCCTGGAGGACCTGAAAGCCAGTCCTTTGAAATGCAATCCTCAGGAGGGAGGGCCTGCCTCCCAGGCTCTGGGAGGACGGAAGCTTACCCTCGCTCCCCCAGCTCCAGGCACAGCGGGTCTGTGGGGCTGGCACTCCCCAGCCCTTTGTGACGTCCCACTTCCCCGAGTCTGTGCGAGCTGCCCCCCGTCCCCCCCCACCCGTTCCCTTTTTAAAATGCCAATCACCAATTGCTTCTGGCCTTTGGCTAAAATCAAGCATAGTGTCTGCTCTTTTTACTTTTATCATTAATTGTGTGCCCACCTCCTACAGTCAAATCATCTTCTGTCCCCATATATTTGGCCCCTTTTCCCTTTACTGCCCCCCCCACCCCCAGTGCCTGTGCTTGTCAGTGAATAATGCCCAGTCACCTCTGTACAAACTGAAGTGGCACTTGGTTCATGCTGCGCTCTTTGCCCTACCTACCACCACAGTATATTACTGATCAAAATCTGCCTGAACCCCTGTAACTAGTGTCTGGCTTTGTTTCTCTGTGACCCCCGTGCAGTCACTGAGTCACTGGAGCTTCAGGGTTTTTTAAGTAGATCCCGAGCTAGTTTCCCCCGAACTTGGCTAAGCCACACCCCACTGCAGTAATCAAGGCTGAGTTGAGTTGCATGCTGACTGCTGGCCGGTGGGGCTCATTTGTTCAGGTTTCATCCTGCAAAGCAAAAGTTTGCTGGTCTGATTCCCAGTCAGGGCACATGCCTGGGTTGTAGGTTTGGTCCCCAGGTTTGGGGTGCATACAAGAGGCAACTGATCAGTGTTTCTCTTCTGCATTGATGTTTCTCTCTTTCTCCTTCCCCCCTCCTCTCTCTAAAAATAAATAAATAAAAGCTTAAATTAAAAAAAAAAAGACTGAGTAGTAAGTGACAGACATCCAACTCAAAGACCTACCCAAGTTACTCAAAAGTGAGAGGGAATTCATCGACTAATGCAGCTGGGGAACCTAGCGTTAATACTATCTTCAGGCATAGCTGGATCTAGGGGCCCAGACAATGTTAAGGCTGTCTCTCATACCCCCTTTCAGTGCTGCTTACCTCTGTCTCTTTATAAAATGTCCTCATTCTCTCCTGCCAGTCTCTCTCCACATTGCCCTTTTACCCTATTCCTGCTTGAAATCCAAAAGTATGCCCCTTTCTCTCTCAGCATCTATACAGTACTCTTACGAAATTTTGGCTCTGCCAAGTCACATGCCCATCTGTGAGGACCAATCCTTGGGGACAATAATATAGAAAACTGGTCTGGCCTTCTAGAGCAGGGGCGTCAGACTTATTTTCACTGGGGGCCATATCAGCCTCCTGGTTGCCCTCAAAGGGCCAAATGTAATTTCAACTCCTTAACAGTTAAGGAGTAGTTACAGTTACACGGTCCTAAAGTTATTTCTGCCCTTTGAAGGCAACTGCAAGGCTGATGTGGCCCCCGGTGAAAGTGAGTCTGACACCTCTGTTCCAGAGTCACGTGCCCACAGTGACTTCCCACCACCCTGTGGAGTGAGGAACCAGGCTGTTCACAGTCACATGGGCTGGGGAGGAGTCAGTTCCCCAACACAGAAAGGAACAGGACCTGACAAAAATAACATGCCCCAAGAGGATTACTGGAGAAGCTGGGGTGGGGGGCAGTCTGATGGAAAAAGAAGGTGGGCATTGTGTAGGTGGGGATTCGGGTGAAAGGAAGAGCCGAGGCAGGAAGGCCCTGGGGGGCACAGTTGGAATTGGAACCTTGAGTAGCGAAGGCTCGGGTCAGGCAAGCAGGCCTGGCAGGTGCTAGGTGTTGACTGTCCGGTGCTGGACAATGTATTTCCATTATCCAGTCTTCCCAACTACCTTAGGAGGGGATACTATTATCATCTCTGTTACATAAAGAGAAAAAAGAGCTCAGAGGAGTTCAGTGATTTGCCCAGGCTCACACAGATTGGAAGGGGCAGTGCTGGCATTTCTGACCCTGACCCAAGTTGGGCCCCTCATGGCCCGAATCTACGCCACAGACCTCCACTTTGCTCCCATCCCGTTTACAATATCTGACCATGAATAATAGCAAGGAGGTAAGAATGTCACCATGGAGCAATGTTGGGTGAGTGCTGTCCCTCTCAGTCATCACATCCTTGAACCGCGCACAATTCTGCAACATGGAGTCAAAATAAAACACCTGGATATTTGAAGCGCCCACGGAGCGGCACGCATGCGCGAGGCTGTGGGGTTGCGGCGAAGGGTGGAAGCTCAGTGGGGCGGGATCAAGACTCTCCACTGCTCCAGCTTCTGAAAGTTACCTGGCTGGTGAGGACCCGGGGGGGGGGGGGGGGGCGGTTACCGGCCACGCACGCGCGCCGGCCACGCCCTCGGCCTCTTCAGGCACCTGTTGGTTCGAGGGCCTATACGGCCGCAGCGGCCACCCAATAGGCGGCCTCCCTGGCCCAATATGGTCCCGCCCACCTCCAGGATTGGCCAATCCCCGGGCAGCTGCGGACCGTCTCCCGGGAGGGCCCGCCCCTCTAGGCGTTTCTTCCGGGTGGGGCCCGGGGCCGAGGCTATGGCGCCCTGGGCGCTCCTCAGCCCTGGGGTCCTAGTACGGACCGGGCACACTGTGCTGACCTGGGGGATCACGCTGGTGCTCTTCTTGCACGATACCGGTGAGCCGGACCCCGCGCCACCCAGGACCCACCCGATCCCCAGTGGTTCCCCAGACGTTTGAGTCTCACTGGGTCCCCTGCCGAAGCTCCAGAGACCCTGGGATTCAACCCATCTCCGCCAGCCCCTGAGGCCCCTTCCCCATTTGTCATTCCAAGAGTTTTCCACCTAATACCCAGGGAATCCCTAATTAATCCTAGTGTCTTCCTGATCCCTGCAAGATGCCCTGGCCTTCCCAGGACCCATAAGATGGACCCCAGATCTGATGACCGACTCAACCCCCTATCTCCCCTGATCCCAGGACCCATCCGATCCTTCCCAGGAATTGACTCCCAACCTTCCCTCCGTGAGATCAACTAGATCAAAGACTGGCATCACACCCAGCCCTGTAGCCACTAGCTGCCCAAGTCCAGGCTCCCCACCCTCAGGCAAGAGAATACCTAACAGGGGAGTGGCCTGTCCCCCATGTCCCCATCCTTGCTCCTTGTCCTAGCAGTCCCCATTCACCCCACCAACCCTCCCTGACTTCCATCACCTCTTTAGTTGCCACAGGCTGCCTCCAGCACAAGTTGTCACCCTCCCTTGCTCACTCCCATTCACAGCACCCCCCACACCTTCCTCCTAGGAGCGTTCTCACTTCCTCTTAAGACTCTCAAGTCTCCTCTCTGGTCTTTGCCCTTTAGCCTAAAAACCTGTTCAGTCTCCCCATCAGAAAGGATCCCCCAACCCCCCATCTCTGCTCCCTTTGGCAGGCAAGGGGCGCCACAGTTGTTCACTCTGCTGTCTGGCTGTCTCACACCTCGGCCTCTGCACCCCTGCCCCACCCCCACCAATCCTCAGTCACCTCTGGGGACTGGGTGCTTCCTGGCCCAGGCCGCTTTCATGGCCCTCCTTGCAGCATCCAAGCATCCAAGCCTGCCAGCCTGGCTGGCCTCTGTCTCTGTCCCATGCACATCTCAGACCTGGTGGAGCCAGAGGCAAGGACCCCTCCTTCCTCTCCCCCACATCCAGTCAGGCCTGGTCCCTTCACCCCCATACCCCCATTGGTCCGTGCCCTCTCTACCTGTGCCCTGGCCCAGCCATCTTCCTATCTCTCCTGGGGAGCCCTCTGTGCCTTGAGGCTTCCAGTCCGATCCATCTTCTCTCCACTGGGAAGGTTTCCAGAAACAGGTCTGACCCTGTAACCTTCCGCGATTCCCCGCTGCCCCCCAGAGAGTACTGATGAACTTTTTTTTTTTGGCTGGTCCTGAACTTCTGCACCTTATGCAGCAGATACATCTGACCACTCACCAAAACCTATCTCCAGGCCTTTGCTCAACCAGAGACATACTCTCCACCTCCGGCTGTACCCATCCCCAAATGCACCTTCCGCCACACACCCTCCTGTTCACCGAGCCAGGCCTCACCCCCCTCCTCTGGCCTCTCCAGCACTGCGGCAGTGGGAAGAACAGGGGGAACTGCTCCTGCCCCTCACCTTCCTGCTCCTCGTGCTGGGCTCCCTGCTGCTCTACCTGGCTGTGTCACTCATGGACCCAGGCTATGTGAACGTCCAGCCCCAGCCCCAGGTAACCAGGGGGGCCCTGGGGACCTGAACCTCTCCTCCTACCAACATGGGATCCGAGGACCAATAACAGTCTCATTCCAGGCTCTGTGTGGAGAGCTTTTTGGGGGCATCTCAGTGTACCCTCTTGCCAGCCCCATCCTACAATGAGGAAACTGGCAAGGCCCAGAGAGGGTATGCAACTGGCAAAGGTCACACAGCCTGGCTCGGTCCAGGGCATTGTGCTCTACTCTGCCACCTCCATTATACACAGGATGGGCCCCAAGATGTGCCTACCAGTGCCATCTGCCTCCCAAGGGGCCCTATCTTATGCTCTGTCCCCCATTTTCAGGAGGAGGCCAAGGAGGAGCAGACAGCCATGGTTCCGCAGGCCATCCCCCTTCGGCGCTGCAGATACTGCATGGTGCTGGTGGGTGATGCCGGGACTTCCTGGGGTGGGTCACGGGCAAGGCTGAGACTCTCGGACCTCCTCCTGCCCCTGTGCCTTGGCCTCACCGGTCCAGGAAGGCCACCCCAGATTTGGGCCCCAGCCTCCTGCCCTCATCCCTTCCCTCACTGTTGGGGCCAGAGGGGAGCTATCGTTGAGCTCGCCTCCTTTCCTGCCCGCAGCAGCCCCTGAGGGCCCGACACTGCAGGGACTGCCGTCGCTGCGTCCGCCGCTACGACCACCACTGCCCCTGGATGGAGAACTGCGTGGGGGAGCGCAACCACCCACTCTTCGTGGCCTACCTGGCGCTGCAGCTGGTGGTGCTTCTGTGGGGCCTGTACCTGGCATGGTGGGTCCCACCACTGCCCTGGTGGGGGCGGCGGGCGGGCAGGGGCAGGCCGCATGTGCCCACAGGTGGGTGCAGCCAGGGCTCCCTCTTCAAGGGCCTCAGACCCTCTCCCAAGTGGCCTGCCCCGCTGGGCTCCCCGAGCTCTGGGCCCCCATCCCTATGCCGCTCTGCAGGTCTGGCCTCCGGTTCTTCCAGCCCTGGGGACTGTGGCTGCGGTCCAGAGGGCTCCTGTTCGCCACCTTCCTGCTGCTCTCCCTCCTCTCTATGGTGGCCGGCCTGCTCCTGGTCTCGCACCTCTACCTGGTGGCCACCAACACCACCACCTGGGAGTTCGTCTCCTCGCACCGCATTGCCTACCTCCGCCAGCGCCCCGGCAACCCCTTCGACCATGGCCTGACCCGCAACCTGGCCCACTTCTTCTGTGGATGGCCCTCGGGGTCCTGGGAGGCCCTCTGGGTCGAGGAGGAGGAGGAGGGTGAGGGCAGCACCCAGGCTGTTTAGGATCACAGGAGGCGAAGCCACCATCTTGTGCCTGAGAACCAGAGGGCTGACCCCGAGCACCTGGGGCTCCTCGCTTCCGCCCGGGCCTCCAGCCTCGGAGCAGAGGGAACAGCAAACCCCTGCCTGTGGCGGGTGTCCTGCCTCCAGAGCGGGGAGGAGAGGAGGGCCTGTGTGGGGCCAGGGCACCAATGCCGGGCTTCTGAGAGCTGCCCCCACCCCCAAGCCAGAATGTATCCAGTGTGCATTTTTATAAATTTAATAATCCATTAAGCAAGTCAAGTATTAAAAAAAACAAACCAAACCACTCCTTGCTGTGCCACCCTTTCTGGCCCAGGTCTGGCCGGAAGGCAGAGGAGGGGAGCACTCTGCCCAGCACAACACAGCCCCGAGGCCCCAGCTCGAGTCCCAAGGGCAAGGCCTGGGCCTCCTGGGCAGGGCGCGCAGCTGGGCAGATGGGGGCCACTGAGGCTCTAACGGTCGGTGCGGGAGGCGGTGCGGGGGCTCAGGAGAGGCCCTCAGGGCTCCAGGAACCGCTCGGACACGAAGTCGAAGTCCCGGAAGGCAGCCTGTTGGCGGGCAGTGAGGGGGCTGCGGGGGTCCGGCGGGGTCAGGGCAGGCGGCAAGCCCGTAAACTCTCCCTCAAAGTAGCGCAGGTCTGTGGGGCCGCAGAGTGTGGGCGCGAAGGGCGGCTGGACAGCGCGGGCGAGCAGAGCCTGCCAGTCTGTGGTCTGCGGACAAGGGCAGCGATGCCTGAGGCCACAAAAATGGCCGCCCAAGGGTCTCTCAACACCTCCCGCCGCGCCAGGCCACTGGGACCACAGCGGCCCGGCCACTCACCCTGAAGAAAGGTTGTGTCTTGACCTCCTCGGCGTCCTGCACGCCCGCCCCCAGGCGCTTCTCCGGGCACTTCTGGAGGAGCTGGCAGGACAGGTGCTCACCGAGGGCGCTCGCCCCGGCTCCGCCACCTCCCCAGCTGCCCCCATGAGCCACGGGGCCCCAAAGACGACTGGTGACCACCAGCCTGTGCGCCGGGAGCAGCCGTCCAGCCCAGCCCTGGACCCTGCAGTGATTACCTTCTTCTTTTTATAAATAAAGTTTGAAAAAAATCCTCATCAAAGGATATGTCCAGTGATTTTCAGAGAGAGAGGAGGGGAGAGAGAAACGTTGACCCGTCCCCTCCCATACACACCCCGACCGGGAGTCAAACCCGCAGCCTTTGGGTGTAGGGGGCAGTGCTCCAACCCACTGAGTACCCCAGCCAGGAACAGGGGTTACCTTCTGAATGAGCTCCAGCCCTTGCGATGACAAGAATCGGGGGTATGGTGCATCCGCATTGACAATACAGTCAAACACCTCCTCCTCGGTGTCCCCCGGGAACGGGCACTGCGGGACCGGGGCTCAGCAGGGTGCGTGGGCCACCCCTTCCCCACCCCAGCTGGGGGGACCCAGCGGCCCAGGTCCGGCACTCACCTCGCCCACCAGCATCTCATACAGCAGCACACCCAGCCCCCACCAGTCCACAGCCCGTGTGTAGGCCTCCTGGGTCAGCACCTCGGGGGCCAGGAACTCTGGGGTGCCGCAGAAGGTGCTGGTCCGATCCCCAAAGCCGATCCCTGCAAACCAACAGCCGCACCAACGCCGGCTCAGTATGTCTGGTCCACAGTAATCTCTGGTTGTGAGAACCGACAGCCAACCCTCATGGCCCCGTGTGCCGACTCTGTGCCAAGCCCTGCCCCCTGCTCTTGGAGGTGGGGATGGTTTTTACACCATCTGACGGAGGAGGGAGCTGAGTCTCGGCCAAGCTCATAGGTCAAGGTCACAAAGAAAGCAGAACCGAGTGCCTTCTCCCAGCTCTGAGCACAGGCTCCCTGTTGGGCCACGGGCAAGCTAGGGCTCTTTAAGAGCTTGTAGGGCTGGGAAGGAAGCACCAATGCATCCAGCTGGTCCCTGGAATGAGGGTGGCAGTGGGGAGATTTCCCAGAGATGCCTGCTGGCCTGGCCTGGGTGAGGAAGGCCAGAGGACACAGGGTCCCGAACTGGAGACACCCACCTTCCTTACACAGCCCGAAGTCCGCGATCTTCAGGAAACCCTGGGCATCCAGCAGCAGGTTATCCAGCTTCAGGTCCCTGCGGGTGAGGGGGGCAGGTCGAGGGCGCCCCTGGACAGCCGCTCGGGAGGAGGGCAGCACCTGCTCCCTCGCCACTCCCCCAGCATCTCGGGGCCAGGTTACCTGTAAATGATCTTCTTCTCATGTAAGAACTGCAGCCCCAGGACCACACAGGCCAGGTAGAACCTGGGGGAGATGGAGGGGGAGCTCATGCCCTGGTCTGTGGGGGGAGGGCAGGGACCCTCAGCTTTCCCCGCCACAGTCAGATGGGGAACGAGCCCCACGCCAGGGCTGGGTGTCCTGCAGGGAACAGCCCCAAGATTGTCCTAAGGTTGCTGCTGGCCAACAGCATACCCTTCCTGGGAATGTAGACTGTGCCAGGGACAATGCCGAGCTCTCACGCCTTTTTCTCCCTGCCTGCAGGCCTGTCTTCCACCTGAGGATCCGAGACTCCAGGTAAGTGACGTGCCCAGGGTCACACATCTAGTGGCAGAGCTGATGAGCCCAGACGCCAGTCTGCTCTCTTGACTGACAAGAAGTAACTCCAGCTGCCGGTCACTGACTGTTGCCTGGCCGCTGGGCTCCGTAATTCATACACATCGTACTCATGTATGCAACAAGCCTCCAGGACAGTTAATATTAAGCCAATCCATAGCTACATAAACTGAGGCTCAAAGTCACAAATGCTGTGAGAGTCGATAAAAAGAATTTGAACCAAGGCCTTCCCGACTCCCTGCTTCTTCTGCTGATAGGTGCCTGGGGGAAGCGGGGTGAGGAGCCGGGGGATGGGGAACAAGGGAAGGCTTGTTGGAAGAAGCAGGCAACAGGGATGGAAACCCACCGGGCCTGGGGCTCTGGGAAAACATCCTCATGGATCTGCATCATGAGGTCACCACCCGGCGCAAACTCAGTCACGAAGCAGGCATGGCTGGCGGTCTGGAAGCAGGCAAGGAGCGACAGCAGGAAGGGGTGCCCAGTGCGACCCACAGCCTCTAGGATCCGCTTCTCGCAGTACAGGCTGCAGGAAGCGTGGGTTTCAGAGGGCAGGAAAACGTCCCCCACTGTCCCCTGCCACCCCCAGGACACCCCAAGCTCAGTGCGTCTTCAGTCGGAGTGCCAGGCAGCTACAGAGTGAAGGCCTCTGTGTGTCAGGAGCTCACATGGGTCATTTAACCTGCACACCACTGTCCCATTTTACAGATGAGGAAACTGAGGTGCAGAGGTGAGAGGGGACCTGCCCCAGGGCACCCCACTGACTGCAGGTGCTAAGAAGAGAACCCAGGCCTGGCTGGCCCCAGAGAGTCGCCACCGCAAAGCCCCAGGAACCTCCTGGTGCCAAGAGCCCAGGCCAGCCGCCCAGGCCCTCCCCAGGCCAGGTGCTCCGCGGCGTCACTGCACACCTCTCCATCTCGTCCCGGCTCAGCACCTCCTGCTTCTTCAGCGCTTTGACGGCGTAGTATTGCCCCGTTCCCTTGAACTGCACCAGGAGGACCTGGGGACCAGAGAGAGGCTGGGCTCCAGGTGGGCGGTGCTGGGGAGCCTTGACACCCCCCACCCACTATCTAACGACCACAGTGTCCTCCCAGCCAGTGTGCTGAGGGCTGCCGCCCTCTCCACTGCACCCTCCTCAGTCCACTACCTTCCCGAAATGTCCCCGACCCAGCACGGCCAAGCAGCGGAAGTCCTGAAGCCGGGGCGGTTTCCTGCAAGAGAGAGGGCACAGGAAGCCCCCTGGGGCAAGGGCTGGGCCTCCACCAAGAGCTGCTCCAAGCCCTCCCTGGCCAGTCCAGCCCGTCCCCACAAGCAGGCCTGGGGAGCCTGGGCGGGGCTCCTAGCACCGCAGTTGGCTGGAGTCTGCCGTACAGCCGGAGCGCAGTAATGTTGGTTCGGCCCTGGCTGAGTAGGTCCGTTGGCTGGAGTGTCACCCTGATACGACCAAGTTGTGGCTTTGATCCCCGGCCAGGGCACATACAAGAATTAACCAATGAGTACGTAAACGAGTGGAAAAAATCAGTGTTTCTCTCTCTCTCAAATCGATAAATAAAAATCTTCAACGATAATGTTGGTTCAGAGAGTCAGACCTGAGAGCAAGCCAGTGAGTCTGCCCAGCAGCCGCGGGATGATGTTTGAATGGATACACGCAAGCTGTCAAGCGAGCAGACTCTGTCTCAGACAGGAAGGCGAGGCTCACAAGGGTACCTGGCAGCTGAGGCTGGCGGAGATGGCCGGAGTCGAGTCCTGGGCTCCATGTGGGGGCGTTTGGTGCGCTGTGAGGGCAGAGGGGCTCAGGGCAGAGCAGAGCTTCCTTCTCCCCTCCCCCCAGCTCGGCCACCCCCGGCCCAGCACCCCCAGGGCCACCAGCCCCCCTCACCGGCGTCTCCTCAAGGGTTGGTTCCCGGGGCAGGTACAGGCGCGGGGGCTTGGGTGGGGGCCTCATTTCGTCTCCCAAGGGGGTCTTCTTGGGTGGGACGTTACTGCGGGGAGGAAGCAGACACAGGATGGGGCACAGGCAGATGGAGAGAAGGACACACAGCCATGTGGAGAGACAGAGTGAAAAGGCGAGCAACAGGGACAGACAGACACCGACAGTCCCCAGAGAGGTGGACAGCAGAGCCGCAGGCAGTCTGGGGTGTGGCGGCTCCTCACCTGGGCGAGGCAGGGGTGGGGAACCCCCGAGGTGTGGCCGGGGTCCGGGGGCACCCTTTTGGAGGGCTGATCGTGCTCGGGGAGCTGCAGGGGGGCAGCAGGTTCATGACCAAGCGCCCCCAGGCTGCCATGCTGAGGTTCATCTGGGAAGCCCTCAGGAAGTCCTGACCTGGAACAAAGAGGGGTTCAGTCCCGGGGCCCCCGACATCCCTGCGCTCTTCCCTACACACACAGTCCTCTCCTGTCCATACCCCTGCGTTTAGAGAAAATGCGCTTCTGCCTCTGCAGCCGGGGCCTCCTCTCAATGACGGGGTCACAGAAGGTCACCTGTGGGAGCAGAGGGCGGGGCTGAAGGTCAGTCCCCTCACACCCTGCCTGCCATGGGCACCTCCCCTGGCTCCAGGGTCATAGCCTGAGCCCCCAGTGACAACAGTGCAAGAGCCAGAAGGGCCCGAAAGATGGATTCAATATCTTCATTGGAACCAGTGGGGAAACTGAGGCCCAGAGAAGCAAGGCACTTGCCCAGGGTCACACATGAAGCAGAACAGTCGGGACAAAGACTCAGGCTTCTAGATTCCAAGAGGTTTGCAGAGGTGGCCTGGGAATCCGTTCTTGAGACCTCCTCCCTCTGGGTCTCCATTTCCACTCCTCTGCTCAGGGCAGGGGGTGGGGTCATACGGTCTCCAAGGTCCCCAGCTCTGATGGAGCCATCAGCCCACGAGGTCAGAAGGCAGGGGTCAGTGGGCACCTGGGCAAAGAGCAGCCCCTGTGGCACCAGGCTGAGGGTCAGCTGGTGACAGGCATTGTCCAGGAAGTCCTCCAGCCGCAGGAAGGCCACGCCACACAGCTGTCGCCAGTCTCGCCAGCGCACCCCAACCTCCAGCTCTCGGGCCTGCGTCAGAAAGGTCAGGCTAGAGATAGGGCACGATGCCAGCCTCTACCCAGCCGGCCTTCCACCATGCAGCCTGAGGTCACCCTGACCTCACAAGGGCCAGCCTCACCCGCTCCAGGGGGATGACAAAGGTCTGGTCCCAGGACTGCCTGGTCACCGGCCCCCAACCCGTCTGGCCCACGACACGATTGTCCACCTTCAGCACAGCCAGCACTTCACCTGCAGGGCCAGAAACCTGGGCTCAGGGCAGGCCAGGACCGGGGGTCCTTGGCTTGCTCCCACAACTCCCTGCAGCCCCCTACTCACTGGCCAGCTCGCCTCCAGCACGCTGCTGCCTGGCCCTGCCCCGAAGCCAGCCCTGAGAGGGGCTCGCGGCCAGTGCAGCCACAGGGGACCGGCCGGGCACGGCTGTCAGCAGCTGCTCACAGCCCAGGAGGCGGACCTGCAGTGTCCCTGTGGGAGCACGGGGGCAGGGAGAGATGTCATCAGGTGCCATTCTCCCGGGGCCACCACCAGCAGGTCCCTGGAGCTTGAGAAAGGCTCCCTTCTCCAGGAGACGGTTGAGCCACAGCCGACCCACGGGAGGCCTTTGCAGCCTCTGCCGCCCTCTGTGCGGACTGGCTGGCCCGCTCCTCATGAGCCCCAGCTGTGAGGTGGGGGCAGCAGGAACCCACAGGCAAAGGAGCGAGACTCAGACCTCAGCCAGGCCCCGTGGAGCCACAGGGCGTGACGCCATTGCTGCCCCAGGTGCAGGAGCTGGGGGGCCGGTGGCGCGGACGAGAGCTTGGGGAGCAGGAAGCCCGGCTGCCTGTCCTATGAGCCCCTCCTCCCTGGGCCTCAGCCTCCCCATCTGCGCAGAGGAAATGAGTCCCAGGTCTGTTCAACCTCCCACAAGGGGTACAAAGAGTGTTTTGCCAACCAAGTGGACTCATTTTTAGGGTCACTAGACTTTGTCCCTCAAAGGAGAGAAGAAGCAGTAGGACACTAGCCATTTTTGAGAAAATAAACTGGGCCAAAGAGCACCACTGAGAGTCCAGGCCTGCGAGTTACACTCGGAGGGACCTTATCAAAAAGGCAGTGGCCAGGGTTGGAAGGTTCCCTTGGGAAGAACAGGGAACTAAGGTGTTTAGCCAGGACACAGGACACGCAGTGGCCCCAAGCAGCTCACTTCGAGGGCTTCAACAAACCATTTCCCCTGCCCTTCCCCACTCGTCCATTTGGCCAAACCCGTTACGCTATTTGAGGCCAAGTTCAGACACCATCTCTCCAACAGGCATTCCTGATTCCCCAAGGCCAGGCGAGGGGGCCCGTCTGGCCCCTGAACTTCCCCTTCTCAGCTCTGCTCACAATGGGATTGGCCTGTGGGCCCCTGCACCACGTCTGAGCAGAAAGGCACGGGGCCCTCTCGCTAGTGCTGTGTCCCAGGCGGGAAGCTCAAGGCTTCCAAAGTCGGCCATCCGAGAGCATTTACTGATTGCAATTCAGCTGCCACTATAAGGAGACAGGTCCAGCCTGGGAGAAGAAAGGACTCTGTTCTAGTCCATGCTGCCCAGGGCTGTGAGCTCCCTACCACTGACACTTTAAGCGTTACCATGGTTACTCATCGAAATAATCGCTTCACTGACAGAGCGCTAACTGTGCCCGCACAGTGCACGCCACATGCAGCAAACAGCCCACTGCACTTCCACAGCAACCCCATGCTGTGGGTGCTGGCATCACCCCCATTTGACAGATGGATAAACTGAGGTTTGCAGAAAGGATGTCAACTGCCCAAGGCCACACAGCGAGGGGGAGTGGGGCCAGGATTGGAACGCTTCTCCAGCGTTCTTCCCCACCGTATTTCCGAGTCCTTTCTGGAAGGGAAGGAGAGCTCTGAGGTGGGAGGACCCCTGGCTACCTGTCATGGTGGTGGGCTTTACAAGAGTCCCTGAAGGCGGAGGGTTCCCAGACACTGCAGTCCGCAGCTCCCGGGCCACTCTGCCACGCAGAGGGTGGGCAGGAGGCAGCCCCTCCAGCAGTTGCTCCAAGGCCAGCCGCAGGAGGTCCAGTTTCTGGGAGGACTCCTGGAGCTGGGCCTGAGCCTGCAGAGGGGACACAGGCCCATGGGGTTTGGGGACGTGGGGGCAGTGCCCCAGGCCACCTATAGACACCCCGTGATGTCTAGACAGAATGAGCCTGCTGTTTCCCCACTGCCACCCCACACGGCCACGTTCATGGAGCCTCCCACTACTGCAAAGGATGAACAGGAACAAGGAGACACTCAGAGAGGAGTGGCCGTGGGAGGGGACGGCGGTCTGACCTCGGCCAGCGCCTTGCGGTCCTGAGTTCGCCGGCTGCCCAGCAGCTTGACCACATTCTTGGCACCCTTGGCCACAGCAGCCTCAATGCGCAGTCGGTGCCTCAGCTCCTCTGCCAGCAGCTCGGGACCTGGGAGGAGGGTCACCCTCAGGCCCATGCCCTGCTCCACCCTGCCCGCCCCTGCTCCTCGCTCCTCGAGGCCTCACCTGGCTTGGGGGCCCCACTGGCCTCCAGACTGCTAATCTTCATTCGCAGCAGGGCCACCTTCAGCTGGCTGTCCCGCAGCATCTGCTGGGCAGCTGCCAGGAGCTTCCTCCCCTGGGGGGTCGTGACATACACTAGCCCAGAGCCTCCCAGGTCAGACCAGGGACTGCAGCCAAGCCTCCCCCACCAGGCCAGGAGGAAAGCCAAGTCTCCCTCAGTAGGCCAGGTGATGAGCCAAGCCTCCCTGGTGAGACAGGGTCTGGGGCAGAGCCTCCCCATGAGACCAAGATAAGGGCTGAGGTCAAGCCTCCTCCAACCTATCAGGACTGAGCTCCCCACCTCATGCTGGGGC